TGTGTGTGTGTGTGTGTGTGTGTGTGTGTGTGTGTGTGTGTGTACCGACCTCTGCATGTGCAGAGGCCAGAGGAGAGCGTCAGCTGGTTTCCTCTGTCACTTTCTGCCTGTTCCTTTGAAGCAGTTTTCCTCTGAACCTTGGGCTATGCTGGAAGCCAAAAGACCCCGGTGGTCCTCTTTTTCTGCCTCCTGCAGAGCTGGGCTTACAGGTGTTTGGTACGTGGGTGCTGGGGGGTCATCACTCTGGTGCTCAAGATTGCAGAGCAAGATCTCTTAACCACCAGGCCACCTCTCCAGCCCTGATATTTACTTATAATGATGGAATCGTGGTATTTCTTTGGCACAGTTAATGAAGCTGACCCTATTCAAAGTATGCTTCAGGTCCTAGCACTTGTTCCCAGGGTGCCTTACACACACATCTCTGAACAAGACCTACAGTAAAACATCTGTTGGTGTGCCTCACCACTAGAAACAGGTCGTGCTATATCTTCTACCCACCTAGTCCAGATCGCCCCTGTTCTGTTGCACGCTTTGGAATTCACCTGGTAAAGTTATGCCTCTCTACTGGCCGTGATGGTGCTTCTAGTATCTGACCTGTTCTTGGCTCTGTTCTTACAGCTTCTGTCTGGGGGTAGGCAGAGCATCCCTGCATCTCATGCTGGGGTGGTAGGAAGAGGACCTAGTCTTCCCTGAGGCCCAGTGCCCTGCAAAGCACCATCCTGTATCTGGAACGTCACAAAGCCTGCTGGTTCTTGATCTGTATTCCTTTTAAACATTGTTTTAAATATTTTTGATGTTATAATTTCCCTCTCTCCTTCTCCTCCCTATGACCTCTGACAGTGTACCCCCTTACTCTCTATCAAGTTCATAACCTCTTTTTCCTTAAGTATTGTTGCATCTCGTGTGTGTGTGTGTGTGTGTGTGTGTGTGTGTGTGTGTGTGTGTGTCTAGGTGTATATCTATCCCTAAATATATAAATGTAACCTGCTCAACCCATATCACATTACTTGTATGTGTTTGTACTTTGAAAGGTCAAAGGTCAGATAGCTTCATAGAGTGAATCTAGGTCTTGCTCCTCTCTTTCCATTAACAGGCATCTGTCTACAGGGTGATGCTGCCTGCTATGAGAAGGAGAAAATGGGTTTGACTGAAGGCATTCTGATAAGAGTTCTGTTTGAAGAATAGTGGGATCCAAGGATGCATGAGTGGGTGAATGAATGAATGAACTGCTGAGGTGCCAAGCAGAGGTGTGCACCAGGAAACACTCAGCTATTTCCTAGACTGTAGCTAAAATGAACAGAAAAGAAGTCCCTATTCCTCTCTACCCTTGGCTGCTGCCTCCCTTGACCTGGCCTTGTGGACATCAGTCACCCAAAGACTCCAGGTGATACCGTCATTGGTCACTGTGTCCGCTGGGACTGGGAGCGGGGTGCAGGGAAGAGTGGATATGTGGGGGTGGAAAGGACGCCAGCACAAGCCTGTCATTGCTCTATAGAACTTCAAGGCCTGCAGACTTAAGTGAGGAGACTGTTTTCTAGGCCTGGCATTCGGTCTAGTTCGACTAGGGCAGGTCATGTGAATTCTCATAGTCTAGTCCCTAGCCCTGGAGAGGAAATAGGCTGAATATTTGAGTCTTGTTTGAGTAAAGAATCACTAGCTCTCCTCCTTCAAGGGAGGGGGTTTTATACCAAAGGAAAGCTGAGGTGAGTAGAAGAAGAAGGTATCAGGAGAAGGGGGAGACAGATGCGCCTCAGTCCAGAACAACACATGCTCACTGTGATGCCCACAAGAAAATCACATGGCCCTCCATAGCCAGGATTCTCCAAATGCCTAAGAAGAAGTGAGATTTAAGTTAACGCTCAGCCACCCAGGGAGAAGGCATTTTTGTAAACACAGCTGTGAGATGAGGAGGGCCTGGTCTGTTCTGGTGACAATTGAAACAAAATCCCCTTACAATCACTTCAAGTATAAACAAA